CAGTTTTAAGGGCTTAAATAAAGAGATAGAAAAAGGTGTTCCATGCAAGTCAAAACCAAAAGAGAGCAGAGTTACACAGGTGTAAGTTATACTTATATCTGACAAAATAGACCTTAAGCCAAAAAATGTAACAAAGATAAAGAAGATCATCACATAATAATAAAGGGGTCATTTCTTCAAGAGGATATGACAGTCACAAATGTATGTACATCCAATGTCAGAGCACCTAAATATAACCAAGTAGGTTACTAACGGGTCGGATGGGAGAATTTAGGCAACGGAACCATAATAATAGAGTTCAATACCCTGCTTTCAACAACAGACAGATCATCCAGACAGAAGGTCAATAAGGAAACGTTGGACTCGAACCGCACTTTTGACCAAATGAACCTATCACGCATATGCAGAGCATTCCGTCCAGCCAGAGCGAGTGCACCTGGAACATTCTCCAGGATAGAGCACATGATAGGTCACAAAACGAATCTTAGCAAACCTAAGAAGGTCAAGTTCAAATCAAAGTCTTTTCTGACCACAATGGTATAAAACCAGAAATCAATTAGAAGAAGAAAACTGGAAAATTCACAAATATGTGGCAACTTAACAACATACTCCTGCACTACTAATGGATCAAAGAAAAAAATTAAAAATACCTTGAAACAAAAAATGGAAACACAATATAGCAAAGCTTATGGGATGCAGCAAAAGCAGGTCGAAGGGGGAAGCTTATGGTAATAAATACCGCTCATTAAGAAACAATTCAAATAAACAAGCTAATCTTACACTTCCAGAAAGCAGAAAAAGAAGAACAAACTAAGCCCAGAGTTAGCAAGTGGAAGGAAAAATGAAAATCAGAGAAGAAATAAGTGGAACAAGGACCAGAGAAATAACAGAAAAAGAACAACAAAACTAATAGCTTGTTTTGACAAAAACAAAATTGAGAAAACTTTAACTAGACTTTAAAAGAGACAAGAGTCAGATAAATAAAATCAGAAATAAAAGAAGAGACTTTACAATTGGTGCCCCAGGAACAAAAATGATAAGAAATCACTATGAACAATTACATGCCAACAAATTGGATAACCTAGAAGTGGATAAATTCCTAGAAACAAGAAACCTACCAAGGCCGAATCATGAAGAAATAGGAAATCTTAACAGACCAATGAGTGGAGATTGAGTCAATAATCAAAAATCTCCCAATAAAGGAAAGCCTGGGATTAGATGTTCTCCCTGGGGAATTCTACCAAACATTTCAAGAATAGTCACCAACCCTCAAACTCATCCAAAAAACTGAAGAGGACGGAACTCTCTCAAACTCACTTTACAAGGTCAGCATTACTCTAACACCAGTGGCAAGTAACGACATCATAAGAAAAGAAAACTTTAGATCAATATCCTTGATAAATATAGACACAAAAATTCTTTTTTAGTGAAATGTTTATTTTATTTAAAAAAAAATTTTTTACAAATTTATTTATTTTTGAGAGACAGAGTGAGACAGAGCATGAGCAGGGGAGGGGCAGAGAGAGAGGGAGACACAGAATCTGAAGCAGGCTCCAGGCTCTGAGCTGTCAGCACAGAGCCTGACGTGGGGCTCGAACCCACGAACCATGAGATCATGACCTGAGCCGAAGTCGGACGCTCAACAGACTGAGCCACCCAGGCGCCCCGTTTTTGTTTTATTTTCGGTATACTTAGCATACAGTGTTATATTAGTGTCAGGTGTCACAAAACTTTTCAATGAGAATATTAACAAACCAAATTCAATAGCACATTAAAAGAATTGGACACTAGGGTCTCGTGGATTTAGCCCAGGGACTTCAGGATGGTTTGAAACTTGCAAATCCATAACCACGAGACAGCACATCAATAGAATGAAGGGTGAAGGTCAGAGTTTGAGCCTGAGAGATGCAGAAAAAGCTTTTGACAAAATACAACCTCTTTTCATATAAAAACTCCCAACAAATTGGGTATAGAACATAAGCAGCACAAACCATAAGAGAAAAAAGTTGATTAATAGGGTATCATCAAAAGTAAAACATTTTCATCAAAAAATACCATTAAGAAAATCATAAAGCAAACCGTAGACAGTGAGAAGTTACTTGCAAGCACAGAACTAATATTGTTTGTTTTAGCGCTTTTTGGTATTGAGATATAATTCACATAACGTGACATTCACCATTTTAAAGTGTAATCTCAAGGACTTTTAGTATGTTCACTGTGTTGTACACTATCCCCACCGTCTAATTCTAGAATGTTTCTGTCACCCCAAAAAGAGACCTCTTAGCTCTTCATCCCTTTTTATGCCTGAATCACATTCCATTTGGGGGATATACCATATTTGTTTACCTTTCGCCAGCTGGCTTGTTTCCGATTGAGGCTATTAGGATAATGCTGTGTGGACATATGTTTTCAGTTCTCTTGGGGCCATGGCTAGAGGTACAATTTTTGTGTCATATGACAATTCTGCTTGACTTTTTGAGGAACTGCCAAATTGTTTTCTACAAAGGCTTTATCATTTTACATTTTCACCAGCAATGTATGAGGATCGCAATTTCTCTACATCCTCGCCAACGCTAAAGGTCTTTCTTATTTTAGCCACCCTAGGGGGTGTGAAGTAGGATCTCGCTTTAGTTTCTTTTTCCTTCTTATTTTTTCTTTTAGCCAGGCCCCAATTCCCCTCCCCTCTGGCAACCACCAGTTTGTTCTCTGTATCAAAGAGTCTGGTTTTTTTACTTTTTTTTTTCTTTTGGTCTCTCTTTCTCTTTGTTCATTTGTTTTGTTTCTTACATTCCCACATATGAGTGAAGTCATACGGTATTTGTCTTTCTCTGGTTGACTTATTTCACTTAGCATTATACCTTCTAGATCCATCCATGTTGTTGTAAATGGCAAGATCTCACTCTTTTCTATGACTTCTATTCCATAGTATATATGTACCACATCTTTTTTATCCATTCACCTGTGGATGGACACTTGGGTTGCTTCCATATCTTGGCTATTTTAAATAATGCTCCAATAAAGATAGGGGTGCATGTATCTTCTTAAATTACCGTTTTCCTTTTCTTTGGGCAAATACCCAGTAATGGAATTACTGAATCATATGGTAATCCTATTTTTAATTTTTTGAGAAACATCCATGTTTTCCACAATGGCTGCATCAATTTACATTCCCACCAACAGTGCACGAGGGTTACTTTTTCTTCCCATTCTTCTCAACACTAGTTTCTTGTGTTTAAAAAATTTTTTTTAATGTTTTTTATTTATTTCTGAGAGAGAGAGAGAGAGACAGCATAAGCAGGGGAAGGGCAGAGAGAGAGGGAGATACAGAATCTGAAACAGGCTCCAGGCTCTGAGCTGTCAGCACAGAGCCCGACGCGGGGCTCAAACCCATGAACTGTGAGATCATGACCTGAGCCGAAGTCGGACGCTTAACCGACTGAGCCCCCCAGGCGCCCCTGGTTTCTTGTGTTTTTAATTTTAGCCATTCTGGCAGGTGTGAGATGATATTTCATTGTCTTTTTTAAAACGTTTTATTTAATTATTTAATTTTATTTGAGAGAGAGAGAGAGTGAGAGAGAGAGAGTGAGCAGGGGAGAAGGGCAGAGGGAGGAGAGAGAATCTTAAACGTGGAGCCTGACATAGGACTCAATCCTATGACCCTGGGACCATGACCTGAGCTGAAATCAAGAGCTGGATGCTCAACTGACTGAGCCACCCAGGTGCCCCTCATTGTGGTTTTAATTTGCAATTTCCTGATGGCGAGTGATGTTGAGCATCTTTTCATATATCTCTTGGTCATTTGGATGTCTTCTTTGGAAAAACGTCTATTCAGGTCTTTTGCCCATTTTAAATCAGGTTAGTTGGGTTTTTGGTGTTGAGTTGTAGAAGTTCTTCATGTACTTTAGATATTAAGCCCTTATGGATATGTCATTTGCAAATATCTTCTCCCATCCGATAGGTTGCCTTGTCATTTTATTGATAATTCCCTTCACCGCACAAAAGCTTTTTATTTTGGTGTGCTCCCAATAGTTTTTAAAAATAGGCCCAATTTTGTTCTTGTGCCCCTTGCCTGAGGAGACATCTCTAGAGCAATGTTTCCTTCCATGGCCAATGCCGCTGTAGGTTTGCTACACGTTGATCTAATGACCAATGATGTCGCACTCCATCACATGTGCTTGTCTTCTTTGGAGAAATATCCATTTTGATCTTTGGCCAATTTTCAGTTGGGTTATGTTTTCTTGTTGAATTGTAGGAGTTATATTTATGTGTTGATATTTTTGGCGGAATGGATTGATTCGTTTACAGAGAATCGTAGTCTTCTTAAGATTATCGAAGACCATATGCTTTTCCTTATACCCAAGTCCTTTCTGCACTCTTCAGTAATGTTTTAAAATTTATTTCATACTGATCTTAACACTTTTTCTTATGTTCATTTGTGGGTATTTATCTTTTTGTTATTGTAAATTACGCCCATGTTTCAATGTTGGCAACCACCAAAAGCATTTGAAATACTATGTGGTTCAAATTCAGGCCAAGCTTGGATGTGCAGCCTCAGATCTACTCCAGCAATTTGCTTTACAGGTAAGGACACTGAGGTTCAGGGACAGTGAGTGGCTTACTGAAGGCCACACAGCACACGGGTAGCAGAGATAGGCACTAAAGCCCAGGTATTCTGTCTCTGCGTTTATCTCGACTCTGCATCCAGAGCTCTGCCATTTTACCGACCTCTGTAAAATAGGTAAGTCTAGGAAACTGCCCTTACATGCGTTGGGAACTCCTATTTGCCTAGGAACTGGCTTCGCCAATCAAGATAGGAATTAGATACAAATGGGTCAAAAATGAGGAAGAAAGGAGAGCAAAACAATGGTTAAAGGGAAGAAAAAGCAAAATTTACACACACGCGCGTGCACACACACCTCTAACCCTCAAACCTCCAGAGCTTCCTGCCTATGAACCGAAAGAAAGGGGGAGTGTGCTGCGCGGCCCCGCTGGCAGGTGTCTGCCTTCTCAAAGGCCCCACACTCCTCCACTTCCTGAGGAGGCAGCAGCACGGAGCAGAGACTCCGGCTGTCTTCTGGGTCCCAGCCATGGCTGCCACAGCCTCGGCCACCTGGCGCCACCCTGGGGGACGGGACAAGGTGATGTGGAAGGTGCTCGTCGTCACGGCTCTGCTGCAGACGCAGCTCCCAGGAACAGGTAAGGCCGGACAGACGGATGGCAAGGAACTTTCAGAAACTCTTTGTGCCGGTGCAGGGGTGGGGGCGGGGGAGCATTGGGGCGGTAGTGAGGAGCTGGCGTCTCTTCGAATCCTGTCCTCCCCAAATGGAGGGGCAGCTGAGCAGGGAGGATCTGCTTCCCTGTAGCCGAGCTGGGCGTCGGGCCAGCGCGTGAACACACACCTGCCCCAAGTTCAGGTGTTTCTAGCGCTGACAGGAGAGAGGACAGTCCGTGCAGGGGAGCGGACAGGGAGGAAGGGCTGCAGAAGGGCGGGTGAGGCAGGCCCGGCGCGGAGCGAAGGAGAGGGAGTGTTTCACCGATGCCGGGCGGGGATGGGCGGTGGGAACGTGTCGGCCAGGCCACCTGTCGCACTCCGCCGCTTGTCTCTCTCTGCGTCTTCTTCTCGTCCCCCCTTGCCGGCTCCGTCACGGTCGCTCGGCCTCTCCCCTGCGCCCTTCGCCAGCAAGAAGCACTGCTCCCGGTGGGGCCGGGTCACGGCTGCGGCTCTGGCCGACCTGAAATGGAGCACCTGAGGGGGCAGGGACCGGGCAGCGGTGTCCACGGAGGACGGAAGTGGCCTTCCTCCGAGTCCGCGTCTACGCTCAGCTCTGTCATGGCCGCCCCTGCCCCCCACGGCCAAGGGCTGCCCCGGGACACACCCATCGCGGCTCAGTGACTCACCCACCGCCCTCACTGCCAGCAGCCTTCTATCTGACGCCCAAAACCCAGAGGTGCTCCCAGAACCTAGGGACAGATGAGAGGGTGTGAGCTGTTGAGTCGCCATCGCGAGTAACAACCAACCAGCAAGAGAACTTACTCCTCACCTCGTTTCAGCTCCCGGGAGCCGGGCCGCTGAGAGTCCTTTCACTGCCGCCATGTTTTCTAGGCCAGAGTTCCAGGACCACATGTGACAAGACCACAAAGAGACGCCCTCTGGGGGTTGGTGCCCCGGCGTTTTTATAAGAAACAGGACCGGCTGTCCTGGAATCTAAAGAAACAGGGAGAGTGGCCCCTTCGCCACGTCACAGGTCACCTCAGGGCCGGCGAGCGTTGGGCCACAGCGGTGAGAGGGCAGGGGAGGCCCCGGGAGCCCCCCCGCTTGGCACCACAGGGGTTCCGTGCGAGCGCAGCTGTCGTCTCAGAAGGGCGCTGTTGGCTGTGAGTCGTGGTGCTGTGAGGTGAGGGCTCCAGAGCGAGGCCCGGGCCCATCCGGTGTGCAGGGGACACGGGGGTCCCTGGTGCCACAATAGCCCGTGGCTTCAGTGATTTCAGGGCAACGGCTGGCGGCGACAGCCCCAGACCCTGGGCTTCGGGCCACGGGGGTGGCTCCGCTGCGCGGTTTCCTCAGCAGTCTGTTTGTGTCGGCCTCGGGGCCAAGGCAGCAGCAAACTAGAGTTAGAAGATCCCAGAAGGAGGAAACTAGACGCCCCTTTCATCGTTCGATGCCCCTTGCCGCGCTGGTGTGGGGACGGACATTTCCCGAGCCGAGAAGGCTCCTAGATGAAGGTTCTTCCCAGCGTTTGGCCCCAGTGGAGGTAAGGTGAGGAGAGACTCGGGCCTGTGACTCCCAGGGCCACAAATGACACCGTGTCGCCTTTACAACTTTGCTTGGCGGAAAGGCTGCAGGCAGAATTTGAGCTGAGCTCTTCTCTCTTTTCTGGCTCAATTAAGTCACTCATCTGCAAACTCTTTTTAAAAGTCCACCTTTTAGGGGTCTTTGCATTTGCCTTTTATGGAAATGCCCGGATCATGAAGATCGAAGCAAATAATGACCTAGTCTCTCTAGGTGAGGACGTCTCCTTGGGGGAGAGTCTGCCGAGATGGTCGCCGGGGTCTGGGGCTGGTCGTGACGAAGGTGGTGTGCTTAGCAGCATGGCCACACTTTTGCCTGCAGAGCCCTCAGCCACTCAAGACCCCTATCTCCCTACCCCACAGTGGCCAAGAATGCATCCAGTGGTCAGTGTGGCCATTGTCCTTTCTCCAGAGAGGAGATGCAGCTGGGACACCAAACCTCGGGAAAAGCAGGCTCCCAGGCTGGTTTGCAGCTCTACTTTTAGGGAGACAGCTGGACGCTGTCTTTTGCTGGTGGCAAAAGTCAGGCCAGTCATAAATGGAATCCCAGTGTTGCCACTTTCCTAGTGGTGCAACGATAGGCAGGCTACTTAACCTCTCTGGGCCTTAGTTTTCTCCCCTCTAAAGTAAGGACAACTTTGCTTGCAGAACTAAAGATGAGAAATGAATGTAATGTACTTGACCCATAGCAGACAACCAATACATTGAAGTTGTATTAATTATTACCATTATTACATCATGGTCTGTTTCCTTGTTCTCAATATCTAGCGACAGGAAGTGGAAACCCATGGTTAGAATTCTTAATTTGCTCTCAACCGTGCTGTAAACAGCGCTGGACATTTTCTCTATCTGTTGAAGTCCCACTCATCTTTCTTTTGATTTCTGAGCACAAAGCACAAGGACATGTGAGCACGGGGGCCTAGTTGTGAACAAGGATCAAAGCTTTGGCAGGTCACAGGATCAGCAGTAGAGCCGCCATTTTTTATTTTTTAAGACCCTTATTCTGTAGGGGATACTCCCCCAAAGTGAAAACATGCTCCCAAATGTATAATATAAGTAGTTAAGGGGAGGAAATTAGAGACGAAGGCCACCAGCTCGTCACTGGTCAGGACGGCCACACAGATTTCGAAGCCCAATGCTTGGCATGGGTGTCCAGTGACTGGGTATTCAAATGCAAACTTCTCGAACGCCAGATCTTTGCTTAAACTGCTCAGAGCTGGACATGAGGGGAACTTCTTTTTTTTTTTTTTTTTTACAAAGTTTATTGTCAAGTTGGTCTCCATAGAACACCCAGTGCTCATCCCCACAAGTGCCCTCCTCCATGCCCATCACTCCCTCCCCTCCCCCCCACCCCCACCAGCCCTCAGTTTGTTCTCAGCCTTCAAGAGTCTCTCACGGTTTGCCTCTCTCCCTCTCCCCCACTATTTCCCCCCTTCTTCTCCCCCTTGGTCCTCCGTTAAGTTCCTCCTAATCCTCCTATACGTGCAAACATATGGTATTTGTCCTTCTCTGCCTGACTTATTTCGCTCAGCATAACACCCCATGAGGGGAACTTCTAAGTGATGCCAGGACAATGGCATTTTCACCAACAAGTTATTTCGACTTCCAGCCACTGGTGCTGCTCACCCAGGTGAGCTACTTAAATTCTCTCTTTTGACATTTCTCACACTTGCCGGCTTAGAGACCCCGCAGCTGCTGCCGTGAAATATCCCCAGAAATAGTCCTGGGAAGTTCTTGTTTAGATAAATGACCACTGCTGTATGTATTTAAAATTTTTTTTTGCCTTTGTTTTTAAAAACTTAGATTTAACTTTTACTGGATGTCTGCTTTTACTTTCGAGAGTCCCCGGGCATTGTGTCTGGTGTTTTGTTTAGAACGGTTAAGGCACTTATTCGGGAGCTGTTTTGCATTAGAGCTGTCCAAACACACCCTTCGAGAATCCTTTTTCTCCTGAGCCATATGTACCTACGGTCAGCTAACAGGTTAAATAAACAGCAAGGATAGTTCAACATAGACTTCTTCTCTGCTCGGGCCAAAGCTAGTTCGTATTAACACTGAACGGATGGTATATTTAATCAATTTGAGCAAGCATTCAGTCAATCTGGTTAAAAAAGAATCAAACCAGTCACTCGACACATTAGTTGAAACAAACTGATCTGGTTAGTCACTGCCCTTCGTAGCCGTTCCTCCCAGCCTGCAAAAAGGAGTCCATGTTCCCTAAGGAAAAAGACACCTCAGTCTTGTTTAGAGAGGCGCTTAGCGCTTAGCACACTGCCGTGAGTTGGGTCCACGCACAATAAATACTTGTTGAGTGAATTAAAGTGGGTGACTCAAAGAATTCTGGATGTTTCCATGTAATTATGTTAACTTTAACGGTTTACGAGGAATATATTGGAGTGATATTATTTGGACTTCTCTTTTAGAGAACTTAGCATTTACATCTAAAGCAAACAACAACAACAAAAAATTAAACTGGTGGAGGGGACAGGGCATTTTGAGGGAATAGAATGTTTCAAAATGAGTTGCTGGGATGGGTTAAGATAAAATCTGCTGTTATTAAAATTTCGATATAAAATTTCCGATATTTGTTTTTGGACCTACGAACAAGATAATGGCATATGATTCAAATAATATTATTTCACAAAAATAAACAAGTGAAGAACAACGTTCGTTTTTCTGACTAGGCTTACACCGTAGGGAAAAAGCAGAAAATAAACAAGGCTATCCACTGTGGGAGAACGTTAACCAATAAACTTAAAAAAAAAACCTAATTAATGAGAGGCACCAGGAGAAAAATAAGAGTTTGTGGACGATGGCAAAAATCACAATATCCAATTGCCTCAAAATATGGAAAGAAGAAAAAAGCAGGTTAACCAACACAGTCTGATTTGGTCTTACGTTACCAACTAAATGTTCCAAGTTACTATCGCTTTTCCCCCCTCTCTTTATTTGAGGTATTTTAATAAAAATATCACAAACTCATTTGAGGAAGTTACATATTTTTTAGATCCAAAATCTTACAAGCCAGCCCAATAACTTCATTTTTACTTCTTTATGTTCCATTCTAATATTTTAGAATAAGTGTATACAAATCTTTTCATGGTTGCCATATAAAAGCATTTCTGTGTGCTTTTTTTTCTTGATAATCGATCCTGGGCATTTTTTAACGCCTAGCCTTCACGATGGTTTTTAATTGCTACGTAAACTTCCAGAGTTTACGCATCATCTTTTCCTGCTTCTTTATCGTTGGACATTTGGGCTGTTTCTAATTTTTGTTGTTATAGCTAATCCTACAAGAACACATATTTACAAACGTGGCTTCAAATTTTTCTTTTGAATTCGGTCCTTGGGCGAATTTCTCCGGGGGTGACAATGAAAAGAGTAGGTTAGAGTAAAAGAACATTTCG